TGAATGTAAGGTGTATAACGTGTAGGCTTCTGTGGCTAATAAAGGCAGTGTACCTAGTGAATGTAAGATGTATAACGTGTAGGCTTCTGTGGCTAATAAAGGCAGTGTACCTAGTGAATGTAAGATGTATAACGTGTAGGCTTCTGTGGCTAATAAAGGCAGTGTGCCTAGTGAATGTAAGGTGTATAATGAATACATTGAATTGCATTTTCTTTTAGCTTTTGAAATCTCACTATAATATATAGTGACAGAAACTTCACGATAACTCATGACATAATCCATCTCGTGCTACAATTGTGAAACCTTTCTTTGTACAAACAGTATACGAATATTATCTGCTTTAACAATTTCTAATATGTCCTTTCAAATCTAGGTTTCTTCTGATTGAAAGATTAATTACAGTAGAAAAAATGAATAAAGGAAAGGAAAAAAGTGGTATTTCAGTGTTTTTCACAGATGAATCTCATTGATGTTTTGGTTATCGTTTCATTTTATGAACTCAAAGAAATAAAAAGATGAAAGTTTTCATTGTCCACTGCTATTAGTCATTTTTATAATATAGAATTTAGTTTTTCAAAGTGGGGAACACTTTCAAAATGACTTTTGAGATGTTTTTTCAATTTGCTATAGTTTCTTAATATTCATAAAAATAGTTTTATTTTAATGTTGTGAAGTATAATTACAAAGATTAATAGATGACATTGTAAAGAAAGCTAGTTTAAATAAAAAGTACGTATGGTTTTATTAGCTGGTCCAGTTGTTAACAAACAAGAAGTTTGTGCGGTGTTTGTCCTTGTTTGCAGCTGTAATTTACTTAATGATTTTTCTTGTGCATATGATTCCATAGAATGCTCTGTTTTTTAAAAACAAATTAAATGTTATTTGTTTGTTATTTTAGAAGTTTGATGAAGCATTAAACACAAAGGATTTTCCAAATAAATAATGAAAGGAAGTACCCTGTTATGTAAAACTTAAAAACTTCTATATTACTGGATGTACAGAGCATAACCTCTTTGATTACAATGTCTCATCAAGTACAACAATTACAGTGAGTGAACTTGTGACTAAGATAACACAAACAATTAGCATATGGATACATTGTTATTTTGTTGGTTGAGCTTAACAAGACCCAGAGAAAAATGACCAAATAGTTAATGTTGTTTTTCTAAAAATAAGGAATTTTGATCATAAAAATTAACCGGAAATCAGCTAAAGTAATATTTGAATCTAGAAATTATGTCAAAGAAAAATTGTTGGATGTTTCATTGACCCAAAGGTTGCCAAATTTCAATTACTGTTTGGTAGTTTCATTAACCCAAAGGTTTCCAAACTTCAATTATTGTTTGGTAGTTTCGTTAACCCAAAGGTTTCCAAACTTCAATTATTGTTTGGTAGTTTCGTTAACCCAAAGGTTTCCAAACTTCAATTACTGTTTGGTAGTTTTGTTAACCCAAAGGTTTCCAAACTTCAGTTACTGTTTAGTAGTTTTGTTAACCCAAAGGTTGCCAAATTTCAATTACTGTTTGGTAGTTTCGTTAACCCAAAGGTTGCCAAATTTCAATTACTGTTTGGTAGTTTCATTAACCCAAAGGTTGCCAAATTTCAATTACTGTTTGGTAGTTTCATTAACCCAAAGATTGCCAAACTTCAATTACTGTTTGGTAGTTTCATTAACCCAAAGGTTTCCAAACTTCAATTACTGTTTGGTAGTTCCATTAACCCAAAGATTACCAAACTTCAATTACTGTTGGAGGTCATTTTATGCTGAACTGCTGTCTAATGTCTTAGATTACGAGTTCACTCACCGTAGTTGTTGTACTTGATGATGCCAGGTTAACCTGGTGGAATGTTGTAAGAATACTGTATCTGATAATACATGAGATTTTAAAATATCTTTTTGTTTTCAACAGTTGTTTGGTATCTCGAGTAAGTTGCTTCTGCTATGCTGATGAAATGCTATCTTTAACTTTTCTAGACGAGAGATGACTTCTTAGGTATGATTGAACTACCTATTCTTAGCTTTCCCTCAGAGAAACCTGGACGTTACATTCCCTTTAAGCACTACATCCTCAGGCCTCGCAGGTGTGTATATTACTCTATAGGTATGATCATATTGCATGACTGTTTCTTTAGTTTCTTCTCTAAGTGTTATCTAGTGACTTCACAAACATGACTATTTCTTTTGTTTCTTCTCTCTAGATGTGATCACATCTTTTAACTTCACAAGCATGACTGTACCTTTAGTTTCTTCTCCAAGTGTTATCTTGTGACTTTACAACTGTGATCATATTTTTAGTTTCTTCTTTAGATGTGATCACATCTTTTAACTTACAGGCATGATCATATTTTTCATTTCCACTCTCTATAGGTGCGATCATGTTTTTTGACTTCACAAACATGACATAATTAATTTTTACTTTCTTGATGTGATCACATGGTTATATCTTTTTTACTTTCTTAAAATGATGTATGAATTTGATTTTATTAGTTTGTAATAATTTTTTTAAACACAAAAGTAATTAACTTCCTTGATCAACCAATATCATGAGTAGTTATGTAAAAAACAGTTTTAACTCTTTTTTTTTTTTTCTCTCTGTAAATCATCTGCATGAACATAAAACAATGATATAGGATCTTTATAAAATGTGTTCTGTTGTCATACCAGTAATGTTTTTTTCTTTCTTTGTTTACCAAACTGTTAATTTTATTTCACATACCATTATAATTAGTTTCTTTAAAGTGTTATGCTAACTTGTCATATTTCTCAGCATTGCTGTGGAGTAGCATCGTATAATATCTGACACTGTTTTTCTCATTAAATCTGTTCTTATATTCTGTAATTTATTTTACGCTTGTTTAGGGAGTTTGAAGTACTCACTGTAAAAACCTTATAAGCATAATATTGGAAATAAGAAATCAATTTTCCTGCAATTATGTCTTGTATTATTTATGTTTTTAAACTTTTTTGTTTTCCAGTATGTATTATGTAAAAAAAAAAAACGATTACATTTTCAGACCTTGTAAGTAACGCTGTCTGTCTTGTTTTTTTGGTGTAATTGTGATGATATTACCATGTACTTTGATCTTGTAATATGTCTGTGTGTGTCTAATACTACTTCTACTGCTGTATTAAAAACTGATCTCATAGGTAAATTTGTGCATGCATTTTTGTCTGTACATTTGTAGTAGTTATGTTAACCCTTTTGCTACGGGTAGGTAAAAGTGTGGATGTCACAACCTTTGAGAGAGTTGCACTCTAAGTTTGATTCATTATATACAAATATATTTGGCATCAAAATGTTGTTAATAAATCAGATTTAAGTTCTTAGTTGTATAAGGAAATATTTCTAAAAATCTTCAATCTCCCCTAGTACTATACTTCTTATTTTTCATGTATATTGTTTATTTATTATCATAAAAGTAACTAAAATGTAAGAAGTAGAAGCTTATTAGGTTAGATAATAATAACTCTTCACTAGGTATGCTCATGAGCGGCTTCTGTGTTGTGTAATTCAATACAATAATTTAAGTTACACGAGTCAAAGGGTAATAAAAATAACATTTAAGTATAATCAGATGTAAACTGTAACAACCTTTAAGCTGTTTAGGATAAACCATTCTCAAAAGAAAAAAAGAGTAATTTAGATTTCGTATTTTTCTATAGTGGTTACGAGGCAAGTCCAACTGATTTAACCATAGGGTTACGGGAGTATACTCAAGTAGCATATTGTGTAACCAATAAAATAACATGAGTATAAAAATATATTTTTCCATCGTATATTTTTCATATTTCATTTGCATAATCCCTTAAACCTCGTAAATGAATATCGAACGTTTTTTTAAGGTACATTTTATTTTTTACTTTCTCTACGAAATCACCAACTGTAGCTATTATCATCAACTTATACTATAGACATATACTACAGTGTAGTGCAATGAAATATTTGAGTTAAGAAGAAATATGCAGATACCTTTTAATATTTCGTCAAATAATCTTAAAACATCTTTTTTTTGGTTATATTCTTAATTGCATGTTTTTTAATGTATTATTTCCTTTCCTGTCCTTTAGCATTGTTATTAGTTATCACGACACACATCAATGGGCATCCCCGGCTAATATTACAGTATCATGGGCAGAGGAGCTTTAGCCGTTGGGAGAATGTGGTGGTGCTTGTGTTTTATATTAACCGTGGTGAACCGAGGAGGTGTTGGGTTATATAAAAATAATTATTAAACCATCATGGGCAGAGGAGCTTTAGCCGTTGGGAGAATGTGGTGGTGCTTGTGTTTTATATTAACCGTGGTGAACCGAGGAGGTGTTGGGTTATATAAAAATAATTATTAAACCTCTCAGATTTGCATCTTAAACCATAAATTACATATAATTAAGTAAAATGTAAAATCTAAATATAATTCCACTATCTACCTAACTAATGTATTTCTGGGTGAGAAACAACACAAAAGTGCTAGTGAGGACAAAAGTAGTAACAGTGCTAAGAATGGTTTAATTAATTCTCTGTGGAATTCTTCATGCCAATTTTAAAATAACTACTGAGAGATTGTATTTTAAAATGTGCTCTTTCTATTGGTTATAAACATCTAGCTCAACTAAGTATAATTGGCTGAGAAATCGCAAATTTATGTGTAGAAAGTGGGCGTGACATCTGCAAGAGTTCCAAGAAATTTATTTCTCCAAACGTGTTTTAAGGAGCATGAAAGAAGAATATAAACAGGGCAATTAACTTAGTTTCTGTCTGTACGTGGCAGTGTAGTATACATGAAGAAGTGTTCAAGTTACAGAGACCAAAAGTTAAATTGTGTATCATGTGACAACAAAACTTAAGTTTAAGATTTTTCTTTAAGGTTTCTTTTGAAATAAAAGAATTAGAACTTAGATAATTGAACACTTTGAACTGTAATGTTCATTTTATTGGCATATATTGATCATAAGATTCCTTAATTAAGTTTTGAATGTAAATGAGTAAAGTTTTATGACATGCTCAGAAAAGGGTGCCCGTAAATATAGAGATAATGCATGTAGAGTTAGGGTAGAGAAAATAATAGGTAATATATAAAGTTTTACTGAAAAAGAACATTTGATATTTAATTAGGAGGTTTGAAAATTTATGCAAAATGAAACTTCACAATTTTTAGATAAAGGGATTTTTATTCTTAACATGAAAAATCACTTTGTACTCTGAGCAATCAACACTCTGACTCCATATATTCATGGACAGATTGTTTGTAACAATACTCAATTAAAAAATCGATTTTTTGTGTACAAAAGACTTGCATTGTTTACTGAAAACTTGCCAAATTTTGTGAAGGAATATGTTATAATATGGAATCTCTGATGGTTACTTTGGAGTTTTGAACACGGTCGAATTGTATGGACCTGTAGCAAGAGGGTTGATACATTTTATGATCTCACAAATAAAGTTTCCTTATTTCTTGTTGTAATCTTGCTGTCGCATCTGTTAATCTCACTGACAATTTCTTGTTTCTTTATTCATTTATATTTACATTGTAGATATAAAGAAACAAATACTTGCATAAACCATTATGAAATGTACATCTGCTCTGGGAAGTGTGTTGTTCAGCAGGTTTTTTAATAGTTTGTAGAATGATCATAATAAGAATAAAAAAGAACAGAGGTAATCTTAAGTGTATATATTTATGAAAAGAAGCGAGTCGTGCTGAGTTTGTGGTAATCAGTTCTGTACAAAATTTATCTATAATTAATGTAAGGTTTTGTAATAGTCCTAGGTCAAGAGTTAAAGGTCATCTAGAAGTTTATCATGCCTTCTTGCCCTCTGAAGATAATACAGATCAAACAGCTTCCAATCATGAAACTGAGGTTAGTACAGTTTCTAATTCTTTCATGAGTAACAGAGATGTACACATTTTTTATAATGACATTTTTGCACCTGGAACAGTAAATGCTTTCTCTGTATATTTACAGAGAAATTTTTTTTCAAATACTTCATTAAAAAATTGTTGTTGTTTTGTCTACAAATGTTTCTTGATGATTGCTGAAAGCTTGTGAAGATACACAAAACATATTGGAAGCTATGTATAAAAACTATGAAGGTCAATTTGTGGTAACAAAATCAGTCTATTCAGTTGATATAATGTATTCAACCCTTTGTAGTCCTATGTAGTCCAGCAAATTTTTATGACAGAGCTTTAGGTAAAATCCAATGAATTTTTATTTTTGAACCTCAGGTATAGTCGAGTAAATTTTTATTTCTGAACCTCAGGTATAGGCTATTTAATTTTATTTTTTTGAACCTCGGGTATAGTTTAGTGAATTTTTATTTATGAGCCTCAGGTAAAGTCTTTAATTTTTATTTCTGAACCTGAGGTATAGTCTATTTTATTTTTATTTTTTGAACCTCGGGTATAGTCTAGTGAATTTTTATTTCTAAACCTCGGGTATAGTCTAGTTAATTTTTATATTTTGAACCTCCGGTATAGTCCAGTGAATTCTTATTTCTGATCCTCAGGTATAGCTTATTTAATTTTTATTTCTGAACCTCAGGTATTGCTTATTTAATTTTTATTTCTGAATCTCAGGTATTGCCTATTTAATTTTTATTTCTGAACCTCGGGAATAGTTTATTTTATTTGTATTTTTTGAACTTAAGGTATTGCCTATTTAATTTTTATTTCTGAACCTCAGGTATAGTCTATTTTATTTTTATTTTTTGAACCTCGGGTATAGTCTAGTGAATTTTTATTTCTAAACCTCAGGTATAGTCTAGTTAATTTTTATATTTTGAATCTCAGGTATTGCCTATTTAATTTTTATTTCTGAACCTCAGGAATAGTTTATTTTATTTGTATTTTTTTAACTTAAGGTATTGTCTATTTAATTTTAATTTCTGAATCTCAGGTATTGCCTATTTAATTTTTATTTTTTGAACCTCCAGTATAGTCTAATGAATTTGTATTTCTGAACTTTGGCCATAGTATGTTTGATTTTAATTTCTGAATCTCTGGTATTGCCTATTTAATTTCTATTTTTTGAACCTAAGGTATTGCCTATTTAATTTTTATTTTTTGAACCTCCAGTATAGTGTAGTGAATTTGTATTTCTGAACTTCGGCCATAGTCTGTTTGATTTTAATTTTTGTGCTCAGTGCTAATTGTGATTTATTCACTAGGATATTCCTCTCTTCGTGAAGGGATACATCTAATGTAACATCTTCTAATATCCATGCATCAGTATATATGTTTCAAGAATCCAAAAATAAATGTTTTAAATTTTACTTGGTGGTTTTACTTATGTTTTGAAATGATATGTAGTTTAGATTATAGAAACCTTTTTTTTTAACTGCAGCTAATTATGTCAACATAAGTGCAGTGTTTAAAATTAAACCATTTTCTTTTTATCTTACTAATCACATAACTGCTCTTTCTTTAGCTATTATATGGTAATTTTTAAACCAGAATCTGAAAGTAGGAGCTTAATTCTACCGTATATTTCAGGCTGGCTGGGAACTGGTTGATGCTGTAACAAGCAGTACTCAAGAAGAAGGACCCGTGCAACCTGTGATGATGCCGTCGTCAGCAACAGCACCGCCTTCCCTACCTCCTGGTTGGGAAGAGCGTCAAGATGCCAATGGTCGAACGTACTACGTCAACCACATTGCTAGGACAACTCAGTGGGAGAGGCCTACAGGGTAAGCTCTGTTATTATTTTGTTTTCTGTTCATTGTTTTATTCAAGGGATATTAGTGGCCTGGTGCATTTTTTTCTCCTTCTGTACAGTTGAAATTATAGAGTAAATGGATATGTTCATGTGATTCACCATGGGTCATATGTATGTAAAGTTGAAATTGTAGAGTAAATGGATATGTTCATGTGATTCACCATGGGTCATATGTATGTAAAGTTTAAGTTTGTATGTAGTTTCCACAGATCTTATGCATGTTTCAAATAAGTGAGACAGAATTATTTCTAACATGACCTGGAAATGTTAATCTTTTGGGCCAACTTATTTTGTTTGTTTTGCTTTCTAATCATAGAACAACCCCTATAGAAGAGCAGGTTCAACAACGAAGCTTGGATTCTGCTCGAGAATTCAGAAGAAGAGTTCATATTAGTGTTGATCGTACTGATGAAATTGAACAGAGAACAAGCTCTGAAGCATTAACCCAGGTATGCACCTTTTTCCATCTGGATCAAGGCGATTCAAGTTTATTTGTTAGAAATATAGTTGCATGATGTTAAAAAAGTCGAGCTTTTAGAATGGTTAAGTTAGATATTAAATATACATTGATAAAAAAAGGTAATTTTGTGTAACTAGGTTATTTATTATGTAGCTCAGTATCATTTTGAAGACACTCACAGAAATAACTTTCATAATTTCCTACATACTCAAGAGACTGAATGCTAGAATGTTATCCATGTTGTTATGTGTGATATCTATTACAAACACTACTTTTTAGTGCTAGTAATTCTGGGTATACAGTATCGTTTGAATGGCATCGTATAGTTATACACGTCTGTGTGTTTGAATATGTAAGCTGATAGTTTATTATTTTTTTATATATAGATTTTGGAATCTCAACAAGCAGAGACCCCAACAAACAGACGACACTCCGAGGTAAGCGTCTCGCTTACGTAGAGTTATATTATACTTTATTGTATTATCAGGAGATCAAAAGTGTTTTACAGTTATGAAAGGATTTTTGTGCCGTTGACTATTTTTAGAGTAAAACTATTGCGGTCTATTCTTCCAGCCAATTCCTGACAATATGGTTCAGCAGTTGGCAGCACTTCGGATTTCTTCAGAAGGTCTCCCCGCGGGATGGACCATGCAGATTGCTCCTAGTGGACGAATATTCTTCATTGACCATAACTCAAAAGCTACTACTTGGGTATGTTCGAGCCATAATAACTTGACATGTAATTTCATTAATCATGTTAAGAAACATCATCCATCATTTTTCATTATACAGAAGAGACACTCACTTATACAATAAAGAAGACTGAAACAATTATGAGTTTGTATATGATTTAATATAGCTATATAATGTTCAAGAGTAATGGGCTTTACATAATAAAGTTGAGGTAGATTATACCAATAATGTGCAATAATGAGTAGAAAGTTGAGGTAGATTATACCAATAATGTGGAATAATGAGTAGAAAGTTGAGGTAGATTATACCAATAATGTGGAATAATGAGTAGAAAGTTGAGCCATGTTTTAAAATTTGTAGGTTGATCCTCGTACCGGGAGACCTAGCTCTTTCCCAAATCAGAACAACGTCCCCAACAAACCTAAGTTTGAAAGTGTGGATGATTTGGGTCCATTACCGGTTAGTAGTTTGATAACATTACTAAAACTTGATGAGTTTAAGACATGAAATGACTAAGTTACAAAACAAATCTTGTTATTGTGTGAAATCTGATGTTATTGATAAGAAGTATTTATGATAATTCCAGCTTATATGTTAATGACAGCAATGGCTGGTAAGGTGACGATAAGATTCTGTATTTTGAGAGTTTGATCACAGCAATATTTTTAAAGTACAAATAATATACTAAGACTAGTTTTGAAATTCATATACTTTGTATGATAGAAATTTTGTCTGTTTTCTTATTTAGAATGATTAAATAGTTTTGACATTACTTTTAAATTATATGTCTTTTGCCACCGAACACTAACTTGATTATTTACATGCTACAAATAATCTAACTAAAAGTGAAAAAAAAAGGTTTGAAGAAATTCATCACTGACATACAAAGGTGTACATATCAGTATTTTTTCGTATATGTAATTAGCTCCTCTGTGGTTTGGCAGTAAATCCGATGGCTTATAATGCTAAAAATCATATTTCGATACCTGCTATGGGCAGAGCACTGAGAGCCAGTTGTGCTTAACTACAAAACAAACAAACAATTAATGTAATTAAATTACTCTTTTATTTTCTTGGTTAAAGTAAACTTCTTGTGTTGTAAAGTTTAAAGAAGTTATATCGAGTTAAGCCTGAATGCTTATTCTAAAAATTAGTTTTGTTGAATTACAGGAGGGATGGGAGGAGAGGGTGCATACTGATGGGCGTATATTTTTCATTGATCATAGTAAGTATTAACAGTGATGTGAGCAATAAGTGTGTTATCTGTTATCACATTACACAGTTTTAGATTTTTTTCTTGTTCTGTCATAAACTTTAAAGTAATTATTTTATTGTTTTTTTTTGTTAAATAAAACAAAAATCAAGATGTAATAAATGTTTTGTATTGCAGGGTTTTACAATTACCCACATCTAGAAATCAATGTAAAAATTAAAGATGATTAATATTTTAAAAGTTTAACTTAGTGTATGGATGTTATTTCTAATGTCTATATTGCACATAGTAAATTCCATTGTGTGTGTAGATTGTGGTTAGGCTTAAAACTGCCTTTTGTTAAGTAGTTTAAAACCACACTGATGGCTGTTATTCATGATGTAAATGTAACTTTCCTTCTAGTTCAATATAAATGTAAAAACAACAGTTTATTCAGAAAATTAGATTTGTAGATTTTATTTTTGTCGAAAATTATTTTTTCCAATTCTTTTAACCACTTGGAATTTTCTTGTCACAACAAGATGATAAACAGATGATTGAGTTGTTAGTAAAATAATTTGACGTATTCCTGCAACATTATGATAAACAGATGGTTGAGGTATTAAAACAATTTATTGTGATACGATGGTAATTGATAAACACTGTTTTCTGAACGTCTATTTCATCATAAAAGTTTTATTTTTTCCCTACCAAATAAACATTAGTGTTTGTGATGTGATCAGAATTTACCTAGCTGTGTTGGTCCTAGTGATTAGGATGCCTGGATTGTGAATCCAAGAATTTTAGGTGTTTGTGATGTGATCAGAATTTACCTGGCAGTGTTGGTCCTGGTGATTAGGATGCCTGGATTGTGAATCCAAGGATTTTAGGTGCTTGTGATGTGATCAGAAATTACCTGGCTGTGTTAGTCCTGGTGATTAGGATGCCTGGATTGTGAATCCAAGGATTTTAGGTGTTTGTGATGTGATCAGAATTTACCTGGCTGTGTTAGTCCTGGTGATTAGGATGCCTGGATTGTGAATCCAAGGATTTTAGGTGTTTGTGATGTGATCAGAATTTACCTGGCTGTGTTGGTCCTGGTGATTAGGATGCCTGGATTGTGAATCCAAGGATTTTAGGTTCACAACCAGTTGCTACAAAAACATGCTGTGGAACAGTTTAGGATCATAGGTGTACTATACGAGTGGTGATGAAATCCTACAATTTGGTCATACATGTAGCCCAATAGTTGGTATTGGACAAGCCCGAAGCCAGATCTGGAAGTGTGGGGTTCTTTTTGGTCCAAAGTGGAACTCGTTTCATGTGTAACTAGTGCCCAGGGACAAAAATAAATTAATATGTCACGGTTCCTTTATTATCGCTACAAATAAACATTTCTAGCACATTTCCTCTGATAAGTATGAAAATGCTATTTCCACATGTATGCACAGTGTTACAAAAGCAATTATACAATAAGAGACCATCATCAAAGAAAGGGAAAAAGTAAATGTTTATAGGGGAACTCAAGCAGATGGCAGTAGTAGTCATGTGGTTATCCTCAACTGTCATTGAATGGAATTAGACCTATATTATCTCTGTTTTGTATTTTTAGTTCTCTGATTTTGGTGTAGATTTTCCAGCAGTTAATGAATGTATATAAATCTGTTGGAATATTGATTTTACAAACTGCTCAATACAAACTTTCTGTCTCCAATTATTTTACTTGCCAATTTGTTAATAATAAAATACAATAATTTTTGTACTAGATACCAGGACAACACAATGGGAGGATCCTCGAATGAGCAATCCAAATATTGCTGGACCAGTAAGTATATCTAGGACTTTTTCACATATGAGAGACAAAAATGTTGTATTTATTGACAGAAAAAGATAAATTTGTTTAATAATAATCCCATGTAGCTTATATTTCTTTGTTTTATATTGCTACAGATATATTTATGCATTACTGATAAACTTTTAATATATCTTCATTGTAACAATAAACAATGAATCTTTATTGTACAATCCAGATGAATGCTTAAAAGTATTGAATGCTTTAAATAATAAATATTGCTTGTAACAATATGGATGAATGCTTAAAAGTATTGACAAATTTTAATCTGTAGCATTTAAAATTGCACCATGATTATGAAAATGAACTCCATAAACCTGAGTGGATGCTTGTAGTGTCCGTCCTAAAATTCCTATTTGCTCATCGGATGGTAACACCAAATGTTCAACAGGGAGAGGTTGGAGGCTATTTACTCAATAATACTTCATGTGCGGGTACCCCTGATGCTGAAGAGAAAAACAAAATTAAGAAAATTGAATATGGTGATAATTATTAGGAAATCATGAAAATAATTCCGTCAGAATGCACAAAACCTTATGGGTTTAAATAGTGAAATAGTGGTTAACCACTATTGTTACAGTAAAATGATCAAATTGATTACGGTTCCTCAGATGTCAAAAATAGATAACATTGGGATGCTACAGAAAATGAAAGTATCATTAGAGTTGTATGTTATTCCCTGAAATTTATAAATATAGGTTTGTGAAATTTATCTAAATAAAAGCAAGCAATGATTCGAGTATGATTTACATTTATAATGTGAAAGAGATAAAATGTCCTAGTCAGCATTTTAAAAGAATATTTTATATTAGTTTTTGTAAAGAAGCTATAATGTTGTATTCTTGCAGGCTGTGCCATATTCTCGAGATTACAAACAGAAGTATGAATATTTGAAAAACAAACTTCCTAAGCCGGTAGGTTAAAACTGATTTTGTTCTAGTGTTATTAACTTGCAATAAAACTGAAAGTTTTATGTTAGTGGCTTCTTCGTTTGTTAATTTATAATGTTTAAGTATTAAGTTTTTTTATAATTTTGTATTTAAAACTTTCATTACTGAAGACAGTATTTAATTTTCTAAATGCAAAATTTCTATGCAAGGTATATTTTTCAGGTCACTAATAACAATGTTAAATGTAAACATACTAATGGTGTAAACATCACTACGAGAAAAACCTGTACACTGGATAGGTGAAGAGAAGAAAAATGTTGGTTCTTCACATTATATAGCTGCACAGTAGATATAATTTATTTACTAACGTTGAATTTAAGCTAATTTAAAAACAGTTTATAATAATGTGATTAAAATCTAGTCAAATGAACTTTACAAAATATGTAAAAATAATCAGAAACAGAATTTTAAATTCTCATTCCTCGTTGATAATGAATTACTGTATTGCTATAAATGTTACCCTGCAGTTGTTGGTTATTGTCTTGTGTGCTTATCTGGTGTACGATTTTCTAAAACTGTGTCAGACCTTACAAATGGTGTTCGGTGTTAAGTTGTCACAAAGTTCATCAGGCCTTATAGGTGTCATCTCATGCCAAATTGTCACATAGTTTATTAGTCCTTACAGATGGTGTCTGGTGTAAGATCACTTCAAAGTTTGTTAAGCTTTACAGATGTTGTTGTGTTGTCTAATTGCAGACTGACACAAAGTTTATTAGGTCATAAAAGTGTTGTCTGGTGTCATCACTACAAAGTTTATCAGGCTTTACAAGTGTTGTCATTGTCTAATAACAGGTTGAGACAAGTGTCTACTGGTGCTGGATTTTAAAGGATTTCTTTGATTTGCATGTTTTGTCTGTTACTAGTTTATCACTAAGTTTATCAGGTTCTAGATATATGTGATGGTTGTAATCAGAGAATTAAATACTTTTAGATGGTATACTTATTTTCTTTTAGAACTTTGTTTTTAGGTGAGTTATCGCATTCTTGCACTGTTCTTACTAATTAACTAAAAAGTTCATAACTGTTATTGCATTCTTGCACCGTTATCAGTAATAATGTGAAGTATGGAAAGTTTGCACCTGTTGTTGCATTCTTGCACCGTTATCAGTAATAATGTGAAGTATGGAAAGTTCACACCTGTTGTTGCATTCTTGCACCGTTATCAGTAATAATGTGAAGTATGGAAAGTTTGCACCTGTTGTTGCATTCTTGCACCGTTATCAGTAATAATGTGAAGTATGGAAAGTTCACACCTGTTGTTGCATTCTTGCACCGTTATCAGTAATAATGTGAAGTATGAAACGT